GAAGGGACAGATGGAGAGGAGAGAAAAAGACAAGTGAAGGGGAAGATGGGGGACGAGACACAGTGATAGATCGAGGGACGAGAACGAAAGAGGAGAAGAGGTACAAGTATAGATCTATATTCTGTCCGTACGAGCAGCCTCTTCTCCCTCTGTGACCTTTGGCTTGTCACTCATAATTAATACAAGATGTAAATGGAGACCTTTCACCTTCTCATTGATATGGAGCACTCTCTGTTTGTGTGTGCATGTGTGAGTTTGTGGCTGCGAGAGAAGCTCATTGACATGGCATAGACTTATGTTGTTGGCAGTCATTTGTCACACAGTTGCCTTCACCACATGTGCTCCATTGTTTAGAATACACAAAGAAAATAAGAAACAAAGTTCCCAGTAAACCTTAAAAGAGCAGGCTATTGTAGGACTGTAACATTTGTGTCTCAGCGTTAGTTGTTAATAATGCAGAGCTGATATATTAGGCTTGAGACTTAAAAGGCAAAATAAAATTGAGGTTTAAGAGAGAGACAGCAAGCAGTCAGTTAAAAGGACGACTAATTTAGCAGACAGGGAAAAGGACATTTTGAACTCATGTTCTGTTCCAGAAGTACAAAAACCTGCTGCAATTTGTAAAACTGTTAATTCCTTAAAGTCCAAAACAACAATATCCTTGTTCCATAGTATGTCATGCAGTTCCCCCATTTGTCTAGACAGAGATTATGAACGGTTTTAAATTATAAATATTGTTTTGTTCTTTTTTTTATCAGCCTTTAATGTACACTGTTTTCCATAAGCTCAAGACAATCACAAGTTAAATATCACCTGCAAGTGTCATAAGCAGTAAGTGAGACAGGACAGGGAGCCAGAACTGGGAAAATGCTGCAGTGGTGACATGGTTGGATGTTACAGATTAGAGAAAAGAAGTTACAATGCTGTATGTTAATGTGCACGCACCGCAGTGTTGGTAAAACTGCAGCTAGTGTTTTGGATGCTTACAAGTTGTTCTTTAAAAGTGTGGGTTGACATTTAATAGTAGGGGTTAGATACTCATTAATTGTAGAATATGGATTAAGATTGTCCAATGAGACACTGCGAATGAGAGGTTTCAGAACTTTTTCTCTCAATCTTCCGTAAATTCACTTGTCTTTTTTTCCACACAATTTCTCACTTTGTGGATGTGCTGTTGTGCTTGTGCGCCCATTTAGTATGTGTACATTTGTGTGTGTATTGATCTCAGGCTAGGCTGGGAACGCTGATCTGTGCCAGCTCGGCTGATTAATGGGGTCGTCATGGCAATCGGACGGAATGAGGGTACGATGCGCAGGCGGCCTGCTGCACTAGACCCCTACGCGCCGCCTGGCACACACACACAGATTCACTCTCCATGCCTTACACCCTCCTGAAAGACATGTTAGTCATGCGCACAGCCCTGTCAGGTTGCCTTTCTTGCACTGTGGTTTCTTTGCTTCTCTTTTGGTTTGTGCTGCTCTTCTTGTCCTGATCTTCCTCTTTGTGTTTACTCTATACTGTTTTTTTCTGGTTTGCTCCCATTTAAGTAGAAGTGCAGGTCAGTTTTTTTTTTCATAGGTTGTCTTTTTCTTCACTGCATCCCCCCTCTTTGGAGAGCCCACTGGGCTGCTGTGTCCATAGCGGCGGAGATTCGAGCTGCTACCACTTACTTTACACTAACCAATTTTGACCACAAGCTTCAGTGGGTGGCAACGATCTCTTTTTTCTTCCATGTTTCACCCTTTCTTTCCTTTTCCTTACTTTTCTGCTCACATCTTTCACTACCTGCAACTCTTCCACTGTTCTCATTTCCTCCACCTCCTCCTCAGTCACTGCTGTTTTCTTCTTTCCCTCACTCCTCACTTTACGTCCTCTTTCACCATACCCTTATAGCTTAATATCCTCAGCTCCTCTCTTCCATCTGCTGGCCTCTCTCACCAGTTTTACTACCTTCTCTTGACTCTTGCACACTTTACTCTTTTTTACATCTCCTCTATCTCTTGTTTTCCCTGACTCCCATTGCACTCCTTTTTCATTTTTCCTTCCACTCTTCTCTCCTCTCTTGCATCTCTCACTGATCTCTTCTTCTCCTTTACTCTTCTGTCCTTTCCTCCCTCCCTTGGCTCTTCCAGATGTTACACTGTGGCCCTTGGGATCACTGATGAAGGGAGACTATGTGCATATATATGTGTGTGTGCATGTGTGTGTGTGTGTGTGTGCGCGCGCACACACGTTACCCTATGTGGATACATATGTCTGAATATGGTTGTGCATGTACGCCTGTGTGCATGTATAACATTTTTGTTTGTGTGTGTATGTGCAACAGTGTGTGTGTTTTTGTGTTTGCTTGCCTGTGTGCTGTATTAATACATCCCATTGATCAGAGCAGGACCCCTGACAGTCATCATCCCTGAGAACCATCTGGCCGACGCCTGACGCTCCCTCACCCAAACACAAGCTGACACCCTATTAATCTGCTACCGCCATGCATACATACGTGTGTGTGTATGTGTGTGTGTTTCTGTGTGTGTGAATGAATGTAGAAATGTGTATGTAAGAGGTTATGTGTAGAATATGTGTTAACATTATTGTCATGTCCATGTTTTTGCATAGGCTTACAATGTGTGTGAGTGTGTGTGTATGCTTTCTAAACCCAAACCATGCACACGCATACAAACGTGTACACACACCACTCTGCCATCCGCCAACAACAGCCGGCGCTGAAGGGAGCTGAAGGGTGCTTGGAAATTAAGGTTATTACACAAATTGAGCCATATGGTCTAAATATTTCAGAGCTGAAATTTACTAGGCAATAAAAATGGCCCCTACCTCGGTAATGGTGTAAATTACAGCTTAACCACCAGCGCTAATGATGTCCTTCTGTACGCCCCGTAACCAACCGTACATGAAGGACACATTGTTTAAAAAATACCCCAGGAAAAGCAAAGGAGAGAGCAGAAAAGAGGAGAGGGGACTGGGATAGAGGAGGAAGAATGAAGTGAACAATGCTAAGCAGGAAGTGAAGAAGGTGAGGAAAGGAGATAAGGGGATGAAGAGAGAGAGAGAGAGAGAGACAGAGTAATATAGAGAGTTGAGTAAGAGAGAGAGAGATAGCAGCATGTTTACAGTCTGTTAGTTTACCATTAAGTGCCATCAGAGAGTGCAGGACAGACAGGGCCAGCCGGCCAACTGTGTCTCAGAGCCGATGTGAGGTTCAGAGTGTGTGTCTGTGTGTCAACCGCACAATCAGAATGTGTGTATTTAGGCATGCGCAGTTGAGTGTGGACATATTCAGAATGTGTGGTGTGTACTGCAGGTGTGTTGAATGATCAGATAGAGTCGAACAAGTAATAGTGTTAAACACATGGTATGAATACAAATGCATTGTTTGGAACACGCAATCGTGTATGTTTATGTGCATGTATAGCCAATGCATATGTCTGTCCTGCCAGGTGCAGGTCATTATCTGAACGCTAACTCTGTGCATGCCAGACCGCATGGAAAAGGTGGAACTCCTTAAAGAAACAGTTTAATATTTGGGAAATAGACTTATTTGCTGAGCATTAATTTAGAAGCCTAATAATACAAAGCTACAGCTGTCAGCCAATTAGTTCAGCTTGGCATAGAGACTAGAAACATGGGGAAACAGCTAGCCTGGCTTTAAAAGTAAAACAATCCACATTATAAATCCTTTTGTTTAATCTGTACAGAAACCAAAGTGTAAAAATGTCACGTCCTAGTTTTACAACGGGTTATGAGCCAGACTTATTTCTTGGCCAGGTGCAGTAACTAACTTGAGTTTCTGCTGGTTGCCTGGCAGCCTCACGCTGACTCTCGGCAAGAAGCTAAAAAAGGATCCCAAAATGTCGAGCCGTTCCTTTACGATATACCTCCAGGGCAGGTCTCAGGGGGGCACAGTCAGTGATTGAACCAGTTGGTAGTTAGTGAAAGGCCCAGGCTAAGTGTCCAGTAATGTCGGAATTATGCAACCAGAACCAAAACTCAAATGAGCATCGATAGCTCATTTCAAACAGCCCAACATGTACAACATGGAGCCCCACCTCATCCTCCAGCCTGCAGACAGGCTTCTCGCTCATATAGTCAATGTATTCATTATTTTTTAAAGTTCACTGGAAATTTTGTTGTTTCTCTACAATACTTGCTTGTTTTCTCTGCAGCAGATCCCTGTATGTTGCCTAGGTGTGGCAGAGTGAGGAAGATGTTTTTCTCATTTGCTTGTTTTGTGTCTTTGCATTTAGCTTTCAGAGACAGTTT